ACAGGGAAGGGAAGGGAAGGGAAGGGAAGGGAAGGGAAGGGAAGGGAAGGGAAGGGAAGGGAAGGGAAGGGAAGGGAAGGGAAGGGAAGGGACTCTGTTGTAAAATCAGCAAGATCTCCAGGCTAGCTTTGGGACCTCATAGCTTCATTCGCATTGAGTTAGACTCAATGATCTTTACAGGTCCCTTCCAACTTGGGATGTTCTTTGATTCTATGATTCAGCCAAACTTCTTCTTCGGGGACCATCGGTTGTGTTGAGTAAAAAAGCTTTGCCCTCACTTCTTCAAGAAAGGGAAGAGTGGGCTCACAGATGTGCCTGGGAATAACTGGCACTGCTGTCCAGAGAGCTGGAGGCATCCCACCCCTGGAGGTGCCCAAGGCCAGGCTGAATAGGGCCCTGAATAGCCTGAGCTGGTGAGGACCAACCAGCCCATGGCAGGGATTGGAACCGTGTGGGCTTTAAGGTCCCATCCAACCCAACCATGAAACAGGAGGAATTAAGTTTCTACTAATAGCTGGTGTCACTGAAAAGCTCCCAGTCTGACCCTAGGCTGCTTGGAGAACCAGCAGGCGGGGCAAGGGGGACAAATAGAGGAGGAACAGGAATCCCTTCCGTTCCTTTTTGAGCTGTTCTGATGAGCTCTGCTGATAAGGGACCCACATGCTGCTTTTGTGTGCTCAGGTTTTAGGCTCAAACATTCAGCTCCCCGGCTTTGGGTAAAATAAATACACTTCTGGCTTCCTCAGCCACCCCTTGGAAGCAATGCCATCGAGCAATCAGATGTGAGCCATGCAGAGAGTGGGGGAGGAAGGAAATGCACATCTGGATGTGCCAAGTGGTGCAAAGCAGAGCTGCACAGCTGGATATGCCAAAGGTACAGGGCAGAGCTGCACTGATCCTGGTGCCCTGGCTGCCTGCTGCCCTGGCTCTGGGGCTGCTGCTACACCACATGCTCGGAGCCTGGGGCCTCACGTAGCTGAATGGCTTTTGTAGCTGAGAGCACTAATGTACGGAGGCAAGTGGGAATTAATTATTTAATGTGATTCTCATTGGTAGGAAGCTCCTGTGCCCCTCGTGCGGTTCAGCTCCCATTAAATGTGTGTTGCTTCCTTCAGACTGCAGCAACCTGAGAGCAGCAGAAAATTATGGTTAAACCCAGCTTCGTCTCACAGTGAGCTCTGTTTAAATGGACAGAGTGGCACTCAGGTAACCAGGAGCTCAGTTTGGTGCTATTAATATGGGCGGTGATGGCTGTGGGCAAAGCTCAGCATCCCCACCTGGGAGAACTGCCCCATCGATATCCCTAAGCATATCCCCAAACACAAATACAACGCTTTTGCCTTTTTCCTCTTTTGGAATGAGAAAAACACACCTGTATAGATGTGCCTCTCTGAGATCCAGGAGCACAAACCCTGAAGTAACCCAGCAAGGCTCAGGAGCGAGGAGTGCAGTCTCCATGGAGGCGAGGCACTGCTGAAGGTCGATGAAATCATACACCCGGTGCGGGGCGGTGAGCTGATCCACCACTCTGATCTGCTGCGCTCAGAGCCGATTCCCCCGGCAAGCTGCGTTGTGCTGCTGGAAAAGATAATCACTCATGGGAGAAGCAGGGAGAGAAAGGAAAAAAAACAACGCGGTGCTGGGAGAGCAATTCCCTTTAAAGGCAAAGAGAGGCGAAAGCATCTCGGTGCTTCCCTGCTCACCCGCGGGCTGAGCATCCCCCGGTGCAGCAGAGGCAGATGGAGGGCACCCGCCCGCCGCCAGCACCCGCCTCGACATGAGCTGACCTTTCCCCTCTCTAAAATTTCAAAGCTGGAGCTGGCGGCGCTGAGCAGACCGCGTGCCATCTGCGGGCTGACCCCGGCCCCGCACTGCCCGGTGGCATCGCTAATGGGAGGTGAAAGGTCCCCTCCGCCCCACGCTGCCACCACCGACCCACCGGGATGGGCTGGGATTCGATGAGATGCGACGGAACCGATGGGATGCGATGGGATGGGACGCTCCCGAGAGCTGCGGATCGCACCCCGAGCCACGTCGGGCGAAATCGCCTTGCCGAGAAAATATTTGCTCAGTGCCCAAATGCAAAGCGTAGGCAAACAGCCCCGCATGGAAATGTGGTACCCGTGCACTGCGCGGTGCTGCGTTTTGCATCTCCCAGACTGGGGGCGTGGATGGAGCCTTCACAGGGACAAAAAGAAGGGTGTACGAGGCTGCCCCATAGGTGCCAGTGGGGAAATGAGGCACCGTGGAAGGGATAAGCACTGAGAATGGAGCGGGTGTCGTCGTCCACCCTCTCCCAGTACCAGCGGGGTTCTGGGAGAGGGCTGAGTACTGCCACAACGTGGGGAGGAGTGGCAGCCCCCATCCAAAATGGACTTTTTTTTTCCCTTTTTATTCATTTCCCCCCCCATTTTTTCCTTTTTTTTTTTTTTTTTTTAACAATTTTTTCCTCCCTTTTTGAAAAATATTTTCAGCGCTTTTTGCACAAAAAGAAGAAGAAAAAAAAAGCATTGTAACATAGCACGGGAAACAAACAAAACAAACAAACATACATACAAACCCAAACCCCGGCCCTGCAAAACAACCACATAGCCACCCTTTCGTGGCCGACTCCAACTCTGTCCTCAGTCTCCCATTGCCGGGCATCCCCATTCCTCACCACCCCTTAAAGAAGCAGCGGCTGCCAACCCCCCGCCGGGACACGCGTGGGGCGGTTCGGTTCCGCGCAGCCACGCGTGCGGGGAGCGGTGCCACGGATGGGACGCGCACACGAGTGGCTTTGGGACACGCCGTGGGCAGCCCCTCGTGTGGCTCCGTCCCGCGTGGGCTGAGCACTGCTCTCTCCGTTCGCTGTTTCGTTTCGGTTTTTGCCCGCAATTCACCGGCAGCGCTGCTGAGGTGGGGACACGCGTGGGCAGCGCAGCCGCGGCTGAGCCCTCGCTGCCGTTCTGCGGGGAATTCCTCTTTCTGTCGCATCTCGGTGCGTGGAAACGCGACCGTTCGTTTCCGATCCCCACCGAGCGTTCACACGCATTTACTGGGAGCGTGGAAGCCGGAGGCCCACGCGTGTCGGGAACGCGGGTGGCAGCGGGGAGCGCCGTGCGGGGATCGCCTGCTCCTGCGGCCCCGCTCGGGGTGGGAGAGCTCGTGAGAAAGGGGCAGAAAGCTGCAACCGGCATCGCCTCGGGTCGTGGTAATTCCGTTCTGCTGAGAAACGGGAAGAAAACGAGTGGGAACTGTCGGACACGCGTGGGTATTGTCGGACACGAGGCCGGGGGGAGCTTTGGGGGAGTCGCGTTGGGGAACCGCAGCCGCAAAGTGCTGGGAGGGGGAAACTTCGGTGGGGTTTTCCACGCACGCGGACACGCGTGGGAGCGACGAGCTCAATCCCCGGCGTGGTCCTTTGCTTTAGGAACGCGCTCATCCCGCGGAGCTGAGGCTGATCGGGGGCAGCCCGGCCGCTCGCTCTCCCCGCAGCAGCCGAACATCTTGAAGTAATCAGCAGCTGAGAACGGAGACGTCCCCCTGGCATCTCAGGTTAAAGGAGGAGGTCCAGGAAAATGTGGTAGAGCCATTACAAGAAACCTGAGATGCATTCATCAGAGACTCCAATTGCCATCGCATTAGGATTGATTAGAGACCAGCAGTACCGTAATGACCCGGAAAGAGGGGCATAGAGGGATTATTAATATCAGACTTTGAAACAAAAAAAAAAAAAAAGAAAAAAAAGAAAAAAA